CTCATTTTTGCAGAAACAACCATCGTCCCCCACAGTTGCACGGAGGTTCTCAGACGAGTAGCCCCCAGCATTTCAGCTGCTGAAACACCCTCTGCTCATGCTAGAGAAATTTGGCAGCAAACGAGCTTATTTTCAATAGGAAAATTTACCCTTAACTTCAGGCACTATAACTGATAAAAACGGAAGGCAGATTTCCATTCCCACCTGACGCCCTTGCCAAACTTCACAATTAAACAAAAATCACACTAGAAATACCCTTTCATAGATATTACCCCCACGCTGGGAAGCTGATTGGCAGTTATTCATCTAGAATAATGCAGCTACATACAATGTAATTATGTGTGTGGTTCTGTCAGTATTCTGCTGTTGTCATAGAATGTGTGGGTGACCTTGGGGGAGAGAGCCAGTTCAGTCTAGTGGTTATGGTTCCAATGGTTTGGAAACTGACCAGAGAGAAAAGCAAACTGGAATCAAGGAGAGTGACGACAATTAACCAGTGGAACAGCTTGCCTCCAGAAATTGTGGGCGCTCCATCACTGGAGGTTTTTAAGAAGAGACTGGATAGTCACTTGCCTAAGATGGTATAGCTCACAGGTCGTCAACCTGCGGCTCCGGAGCCGCATGCGGCTCTTTGAGCCATCCCCTGTGGCTCCCAGCCTCCTCTGCCTTTGCAGAGAGAGAGAGAGAGACAAGAAGGCAATTCACTTCCCCTATTCTCTCTCTCTCTCTCTTCTCTCTCTCTCTCTCTCTCGTCTCTCTCGGTTGTTTGTGTTTTGTGGTGTGTGTATTGTAAAAGAGAATGCACTCACAGTGTTCTCGAGGAGCTGAAAAGCTTTTCTGGGCGGAGCTCCTCCCTTTGCTGCGTCTCTGCAGGAAGCAGGAAGGGCAGGAGAGAGCTAGCTAGCCCAGCTAGGCTGACTCAGGAATTCTGGGAGTTGAAGTCCATGAGTCATAAAAGAGACGAGGTTGCCTACCCCTGATCTTGTTGGACAACAGCCTGAAGCTTGCCAGTGAGCAGCAGATAGGAGGGGAGGGGGGAAAGAGAGAGAGAGAAAGAAGAGAGAGGGAGGAGAGAAAGAGTGGGGGAAGAGGAGTGGCAGACCAAGGGCAGATAGAGAGGGAGGGAGAGAGAGACCCTTTTGACATCTAAAATGAAGATAACACTGCATATATCCTTTTTTACCTGTGTGTGTATGTAATTTTATTCTCTTAAAGCATTCTCTTGGTGATCATTGTTTTAATAGTATGGATATTCCCAAGAGTCATATTTTTAAAATGTGTGTGTGTGTGTGTGTGTGTGTGTGTGCGCGCGCACACACACACACACACACACACACACACACACACCTATAATAAAGGTAAAAAAGGATATATGCAGTGTTATCTTCATTTTAGATATCAAAAGGGTTTTGCGGCTCCCAGTGTTTTGTTTTTGGTGGGAAACGGGTCCAAGTGGCTCTTTGAGTGTTTTGGGTTGCCTACCCCTGGTATAGCTTCTCCTGCTCGAACAGGGGGCTGGAGTAGAAGACCTCCAAGGTCCTCTTCTATTCTATTCTATTCTATTCTATTCTATTCTATTCTATTCTATTCTATTCTATTCTATTCTATTCTATTCTATTCCATTCCATTCCATTCCATTCCATTCCATTCCATTCCATTTGCTTTGCTATATTCTATTCTATTTGCTATTCTATTCTGTTCTATTCTATTCTATTCTATTTCTATTCCAATTTAACAAGATGTTTAGATGCCATTAAAGAGACATAAGTTAAATCAGATAAATTCAGTAAGCTGAAATCGATACCACACGATTAATTCTGATCATTTAAAAGCTCCTGTCTAATATTCCTTTATGGGTAGCTAAAATGACTTACGTTGAAATCAAGCAGTGCATCCATCTGGTTTTGTATAATTGGTACCATTTTTAACAGTTTTTCTGTATTCATTGTCCTCATGACTCCATCAGCTCTATTAAAAAAGAAAATAAAATCGTTAGCTAACTAGATGGATTTGGTATAACGCCTACCACATATGTTTCCAGAGTTTAAGAGTGGTCTGGTTTTTTTTCTTCCTTCTCCTCATGTATCCACATAAGGATAGTGATTTGGACTGGGCTTAATTCCTGAACCACCTTGCCTTTACCCAATAAAACTATTTAGTTACGGAGTTTGGAATTTCTAAAATACACAAACTGGGGGCTAGATTGGGGTTTTAAGAACCAGATATGCTAGTAGATGTTCAAGAATTATCCCCCCCATTCTTCAACTTCCGTCCAGTTAGAAGCTCTGGCTGTTAGTGTGCAACAGTCTAAAGCAGTGGTTCTTAACCTTTTTTAACGAATTGCCCCCTTGAGCCAATGAGGAAGTTGTCATCGCCCCCCTCCCCCAACATAACCTCTCAATCACAACATAGGAAATAATTCTTCAATTTATGCAAACACTTTTTTTGTTTTCTTTAAAATTGTCATCAGGACATATCGATGCAAATAATTTATTTCCGGTCTTTTTCCCATATATCCCATATTCTGGCTAATGGCACGCCACTGTATGGGTAGAGGCTGCTGTGCAACGCGCATGAAGATAAGCGATGCGTATTCACATATATACGGCGTTCTGTACTGAAGCTAGCTGGAGGGACATTTGAAAACACAATTCAATCCACTAATAGCAAGCAATTTGATGTTTTTGGATGACAGATATAAAGCCATTCACTGTACGAAAGTCTCAAAAGTGTCCCCAAAACTTCTCGCTCCATTGCCCCCATATCGCCCCCTTTTTGTTCCTTCGTCCCTGCGTCACCCCTTTTCATTCCATCGCCCCCCTGAAAAATGAAATCGCCCCCCTGAGGGGTGATATTGCCCAGGTTAAGAACCACTGGTCTAAAGTTTGCACATGCCTACTTCCTGATGCCACTTGTCCCAAAGATGCTTTTTTCAGAAGGCAACTGGACTTTCTTTTTTTTTTTTTTTTTGTCTTTGTAGACGTTTCGCTTCTCATCCAAGAAGCTTCTTCAGCTCTGAGTGAATAGTGGGGAGTGGAAGGATTTATACTCCTTGCAGAAAGCTGGTCATTTACATTCTTTTGGAGAGTCGTTGAGGCCACCTGGAGGTTTATCTGTGTCCTCAGGGTCACCTGAGTGGTGCAAATGGGTGTGGAGCCTTCTTGGAACAGCTGAAAGGACCGTGTTGGAGACTGGAGATAGATGATGTCGGATCCCTCCCCCTCATCTGTTTTACTCAGGAAATTTATAAATCATAAATTCCATATTTTCCAGCAAAAAGTTCAGAAGGATTTCCAGTCACTACTAAATGTAGTACAGGGAGTCCTCAACTTATGACCACAACTGAGCCCCAAATTTCTGTTGCTAAGTGAGACATTTGTCAAGTGCATTTTGCCTCATTGTTACAACCTTTATTGCCACAGTTGTTAAGTAAATCAGTGTAGTTGTAAAGTTAGCAACATGGTTCTTTGATGAATCGGACTGCCCCACTGAGTTTGCTTATCAGAAAGTCATAAAAGGTGATCAATCACCTGGGACACTGCAACATATCATAAACACATGCCAAGCGTCCCAATTTTGATCCCGTGACCATGGGGAAATGCTACAATGGTCATTAAGTGTGCAAAATGGACATAAGTCACTTTTTTCGGTGCCGTTGTAACTTCAAATGATCACTAAAGGAACTATCGTAAATCGAGGACTACCTGAATTAATCTGTCTCTAAGAAAGCAAGTTAATTTTGCCTTCTCTGCTCGTTTCATCACCTTCACTAACTGTTCCTCCATTGTGGGCATACAGAAACTTTGTATGTTTACACAAGAATTATAGCAAGGATCATATATAAAATTAATTTTCCACAGATTTTTTCTAGTTGTCTTCCCATTAATTCAAACAAACAAAAAATTCTGGTTTCAGCTGAATCTTTGTCTTCAAAATTTTTTATCTGTTTATGTATGAACTCAAAATTTTCTGGATTGTTCATATTGTCCGTATTTCTAACATAAATCTGAGGTGCTTTTATGCCTTGTAGACAATTTTTCTGGAGCCACATACCAACGATGCATCATTTTGTAAAAATTATTTTTTAGGTTATAACTTAATGTTAATGTTGTCAAGATTTTCAACCACTTTTTCCCCATTATGGGCAAACAATATCCCCCAAATTCTTGGTCCATTTTATCATATACTTTTATTTGTTTCTCTCCATTTCTAATTTCAGCAAGAATTATACATTTCACTGTATATTACTGTATATTCCGGCGTATAAGGCGACCCGGCGTATAAGACGACCCCCATCTTTGGCGTCGAGTTGCATGCCTAGAAAGTCGTCTTATACACCGGAAACTACTGTAATTTCTGGCATATAAGATGATCCCCGACTTCAGCGCCAATTTTAACGCTTGTGAAAGTCGTCTTATACGCCAGAAAGTATGGTAATTTTTGGAAGCTAATTTTGCTGTTGATTTTCACTGCTTGTATGCTGTTATTGTTTTGATTTCAAATTGTTGCATATTACCAGGGTGGACTTTTAGCAGGGGTGATATAAGAGTTACCTACAATAGTACTAACATTATTTGTTTAAGTAATTTCTAGACTAGATTTCAGAAAGAATCAATTCCTTGAAGCTTCGAAAATTAATTCATACTCTTTGAATTTTTATATTCTAAATTATACTGGATGCTTAAAGCAGATGTTGCAAACAAGTAATGGATTCATCCCTGTGAGACACTTACCCTCTTTTTACTTTTGTAAAGTCAAAAGCCACTTGTCTGTAGGAAACTGCTTTCTCATTCAAATATCTGCTGTATCTCCTAATAAATGTGGACATATCATATCCTAAAGGAAGCAAACAGAAAGCAAGCTATTTCTTATGTAAAACCAGATTAATATCAAAGAGGTACATTATGACATTCAAAGGATTGCCTACTAGCAAACTGACATATTTGAATCAGTGAGATAATTATTAATAGCATACATGTTTTGCCATAAACCAAGTCAGATATTTTGCCTTGAGTTCCCCCATTCTGCTCATTGACGCCAAAGCTGGGACGATAGCGGTGTACTGATTAGCTTGAATTAAACCGCAATACATGTAGTCCTCAACTTATAATGGACCTGCCCATTACGATCATAAGTTGGTAACGCTTGCAAAGTGAGTCACCCACGTGACCGACCCAATTTTTATATCCTCTTATGGGGCAGTCATTAAATGATTACAGCCGTCATAAAGCAAACGCCGCAATCATAAAGCAAACCCATTTTTCGCCGTGGGGTAGTTTGCTGAAAACTGGACGTAAAAACTTTGCAAAAAAGTAAATAAATCATAAAATGCAGTCACATGACTGTGAGATGCTGCAAATGGCTTTATATATGGACTAGTTGCTGAACAATCATGTGACCCTAGGGGAGAGCCTGGGGCGGTGGTGCATTCTAAGTTCAAAGGGTCACTAAGTGATTGGTCATAAGTCAAGGACAATCTATACAAAATCTGCCATCTTTCTCTTTCTCAATGCATTTTGGGTGATTTGGAGCTGCGGCAGGTTTCCTTCACCATCGCTACCTTTATTCAACATTATAGTACTTGCCCTCAATCTTTTCCTTTTTCTATTTAACCTTGTGAGCAATCGCTAAAAAGCAAGAAGCTACACATAAGCCTTGATAAGTGATGCAGCACAAACTTTCCTTGCTGTTTCTTGTGGATTTACTGGTTTTGAGGCTGGTGCTTTTTACTGTCATTGGTATACTGAATCGAGAGTAGAAAACTAATCTTAAAACTGAGTGAAAATGTAAGAGAAAATAAATTTCAGGCTTATTTTGTTTCATGGATTATTTATTTTAATTTATATTCTATTTCCCTATTCAAGCAAGCACTCAAGGCAGCTAATAATGTAAAAATATTTATAGAGATGTAAATGCGTTCATTGAATAAAGGGGCTTTTAGTTTTCATCATAACGCAAGTCAGCTTCTTTTGGTAGAGTGTTTCATCGGACGTAAGACACAAAAGACTGAGAAGTAAAACTGTAAAATACTATTCAGAAAGTTAGGGATTATTTGATACAGATCAAATAATTTACCTTGCAATCCACTTTTGTCCAAGAAATTGCTCAAGTTAAACAATGTGTTTCTGGAAGCCAGGTACTGGGTAAAACGCTAGAAGGAATAAAATGATTCAGTTATTCAGCTAGAATTGCACGTGGCTCAATAAATTTCTCACTGCTAACGGAGTTTAAAACTCTGATAATCCGGTATATGCATGCAGTCTGTCCCACCAGGTTAAAGAAAAACCACTGTGAGTCAACAGAGTTCTCTGGAAATGAATATTGGGAGAAAAAACTGCTAGCCTGCAATCCCATAAAAAGTGATACTAATTGCAAATCTTGTCAGAGCAACTAAAACTTTCTCTGAAAGTAAGAGACACAGCTAATTTGCTTTAAAATTTGATCATTTCACCACCGGCCTACTTAGAACAATGCAGATGACTGTATGCATTTAAGGCAAGGCACTTTAGTCAATCAGTCACGATTTAACCATGTGGTTAATGATGCTCATTTTGGATGACTCATATCTAAGCCCATTAATTTCTCAGTCTTGACTAGCCCACAGCTTCCTGTTTCTTTACTGATAAAGTTCTCAATAATGCCAAAGACACAATTGCACGGTATAAATAACACTATTGTAGTGTAGACGTATGAGGTAAGGAGTTTGTTTAATACTCCGGATATATTTCTCAGAACGATATAGCATCACAGTTCTGTAAATATATCAGTCTGCCCCACCCCTTTTGCCAGGAAAATTATATACCTGAGACACAAGTTAGTACAGGCAGGATTAAATAGCTAAACCAAAAAGCATTGTTTCTGCTCACAGAATTATAATTGGAGCATTGTTCTACTTTTAATTAGGACAACTGGAACTTGTTTTCAGAGAAAAGGGTTTAAGGAAACATTATTCTTTAGGAGAATGAAAGCCAAAACTCATGGAAAGGCACAATTCACATTACAGAATCTCAGAAGAGATTCTGAATACAGATAGTCCTCAACATAAAACCATAACTGAGGCTGCCCATTAAGGTGGCATGTCGTGATGGCCATGTTGTGTTGTCACATGACCAACCCAACTTTATGACCTTTTTTGTGGCATCATTAAATGAACATGGCAGTCATTAAGTGAACCCAGTGGTTGCTATGGTATGGTTTGGCTAAAAACCAGAAACAGCTGTCAAAGTTTGGCAAAACCAACATAAAACACAAGTCATGTGATTATAGGATGCTGCAAATGTGGCCGGGTTGCCAAGCACCCAACATGTGGTCACATGACTGTACTGGAGGGTTGGCATGACAGTTGGAACTTCAAGTCAAGGGGTGTAGTACTTTTTTTTCTCAGCTGAATTCATATAGAATTATATACATGATTAACATGTATATTAGAGTGGTTGCCTTCCTATTATATACGATATTGCTAAGTCCATATGTCTTTAGAAATTATGAATAAGCAATTGTTAAGAGTTACTTTTTTCCTGAACCCTGTCCCCTCTTTTGTTTACCATGGTTTAATCATATAATAAATCATAAACAAGTACCATTTAAAATACAATATACTTCCAGGCTGCTTTCTGTTTTAGCACCTTTAAACTAGAGCCCAAGTACACTTGCTACATCAAAATACACCAATCTTCCTTTGTATGTAAATTGGATTGTGATATATTCTGGCATTTTGCTCTCTGACATGTATTTGCTGGCCCTTTCTTTATATTTTCATTGTTTTTGAACTAGTTTTCTGCTCCCTGGTGAAAAAGAAAGCCACCAGGGAGAAAAAAAGGACCCAAATTTATCTCCCCAGCTTAGCAACCAGCCACAATTGCTGATAATTATATAGGAAATGGGGTCCAGCATGTTTCAAAGGCACTAATTGAAGCGTAAGAGAAGCAGGTGTTACCTCATTTCCATGCACCATGAGATGGTGAGTTGTGATGAGAGATTTGAAGACTACCACCCAGCTACTATTTGTTGTCCTTTCAAATAGGCTGTCTGCCAACTGTGGGATGTTTACGTTCATGTCATTTGTACATAGTATTAAATCTGAAAAAGAAGGAAATGCATATGGATATTTCAAGCAAACCCTACCAAGCGCCATTTAATTAAGAAAAGCTTCTTAATCCTCCAGGATCTCATGAGCCGTTCAGAAGAGAACAAATGTTATTAACTGTGCCTCTTCTATACAATACGTTCTAGATCCCATGCAAAAGAATTCCTGTGCAATCCTCTAGAAAAGATCTAGAAAAGTCTCTCCAAAGAAATGAACTGAAGACATTCAAGCAATAATTGCCACATTGAGAAAAGCGGTGCAGGTGGTCCTCAACATACGACCACAATTGAGCCCGAAATTGGTGTCACTAAGTGAGAAATTTGTTAGGAGAGTTTTGCCCCAGTTTATGACTTTTCTTGTCACGTTTGTTAAACAAATTTCTTACGTGGTCAAGCCTCTGAAGGTAAATCACGTGACCAGGGGGATGCTGCAAGGGTCGTAAGTGTGAAAAATGGTCATAGGTCACTTTTTTCAGTGCCGTTATAAGTCTGAATGGTCACTAAGTGAACTATTGTAAACCGAGCACTACCTGCCATAGTCGGAAGACAAAGATGAAGTAAAATCATGAGTTGTACTACTCTATTTTTTAAAACTTCTGATGAAATTCACAGGGACGAAATTGGTTTAAATCAGGGAGCTCAACCGGTGGCTCATTATCTTCACATACCTTAACTTCTCAGCACCTTCCTAAAAGTTTTAAATTTATATCAACAAAACACCACTTTTTTAGACATCTAACATCTATTATGATAACATCTATCGTGCTACTGCTTGTAAAAGTGAATTATTCACTCAAGACATCTGCTTAGAAAAGTTTTGTGGTTGAAAGCGGGAGAATTACATTTACAAGAAGGTAGAAGAATTGGGAGTATTTGATCTCTTGTGGAATTGTTTTAATGTGGCAAACTGCAGGCCTGAGGAGGCAATCACCTTTTACAGCCTTGTAGGCAACTTGATAGTGAGAAAAACAGGTTTCTAGTCCTCTGTCAGCATCTCTTCTATTTAAATATGTGCCATTCTGGTTCCCTACAGCTCCCATGCAAGCCCAGAAAAAGTCAAGGAAGTGCTGACAAATGCAGTAAATCACACATCCACACCCTGCTCCAAAGTGCTTCTTTGCTTCAGAACATACATAATGTTCTATGTATTAGTAACTTCTAATTTATGAAATTGCTCAGCATTATCCATGGGTATTGAGGCTCTACTAGAACCTGCCTCCGCAAAGTAGACGAGTAGAGAAAAAAGCAGTCTTGACAATTGGGACTAATTAAGTTGGTTTACACCAAGACCAATAGGAAGAATTAAGTTACTCTATAACAAAGTTAGAGACTTACAGCCACCGATTTACTTAAGTGATTCAGCTGGTTAAAAATGTTAAAGAAGCATTACAGCCATTTAAGACAGTTGCACTGCCAAGTTTAGTCTAATGGTTTTAATGTCAGAAAGAAAGGGAGGAGGGCTCAATAAGAAAAGGAAGGAATATGTATATGCAACTATTTACAGGAAAACCTTATTCTTAATATCTTCTGTGGATGAAATTTCTTTATGTGGAGAATTTTTGTTTCCACAAATAAAGTATTGGAAATATACATTGTCACCACTTCCTGAACGAGCCCAAATTGCTTCCTGCCTCTTATTTTCATGACTAAATGCTAGCTTTCGATCTTGGTCAACCACACAATTCATTGAAAAGGCTGGCTTTGTTCATTTATGGAATTTATATCCTGCCTTTTTCCCAAATATGTTCAAAGCCTAACCAAACAATAGAGCATTATTATTAAACACAATTAGATGCATAAACATATTAAAACACAATGAATAAAAAGCAATGTCCAGTATGTCTCAGAACTTTAGCATTCACGTCTGCTTCCACAAAGACTTGTTTCAATAAAAATGCTTTAATATGCGGTCAGTTTCCAAAGAGTAATTTAGATTTGGCTTTTCAGTTTCCCATCTTCTCTAGTTTAGGCCAGTTTATAAGAAACGCGATGATGAACTAAATTTATAATCTCAATTAAACCAAACTGGAGTTCATTAGTTTGCAATATAAGGCTTACAATAATTCGGAATTAGAATGAACATCTCAAACTCAACCTGCATTTGATTCTATGTCAAGACACTTCGTGGACAAAGCAATTCATGGGATGTCCCTAAGCAGCAGTATATGTTGGCTTTTAAGATAGTCTTTAGCTTAGAACTCAGCTTAATAAAAGAGGATGAGCACGCTGCACATGCCCAAAATGTATCAAAGTTTGTGGGCATTATCCTTGCTATTTGCTGGGATTGCGATGTGTGACACAGGTAAGGGAAAACACTGAAATCTAGTCTATACTTTTGCTGTACAGGTAGTCCTTGACTTATGACAATTGGACCCAAAATTGATGATGCTAAGTGAGAAATTTGCTAAGTGAGTTTTGCTCCATTTCACCACTTTTCTTACCACATTGGTTAAGTGAATCACTGCAATTGTTAAATTAGTAACCTTTGTGAAGTGAGTCTTGCATGCCCCTTGACTTTGCTTATCAGAAGATGATTACATGATTCCTTTACATTACGACACTCATGTTGTAAACATGAAACAGTTGCCAAGCATGAGTTTTGATCACATGACCATGAGGATGCTGCAATGGTTCTATGTGTGAAAATGATCATAAGTCACTTGTTTCAGTGCCGTTATAACTTCAAATGGTCACTAAATGAACTGTTGTAAGTTGAGGACTACCTGTATTACTAAAGGCATTATATGAAAGTCAGTATCTGACTAAAGCTATAAAGAGGAACCACATGAGGTGGCAAAGGTCAATATGTGTAAATAAAGACTGTAGTACTATAGAAGTAAGACTGTGATTTGAATGCAACAGGAGTAAATTAATTTCATGTATTTATTTGCTAAATTTATTTGCCATCTATCTCACCATGGGCTGCTTAACTTGAATAAAAAATGAAATCGAGTGAAGTGAAAAATACGTGTCTATGGAAGTAAGAGAAAGGATAATAAATCTCAACGAGGACAGTCTAGCAATATGGAGCAATGTTGATGAATACCTGCATGGAAATGAAAGTGTAGATCTAATTGCAATGATGTAATTCCTTGCTGAGGATATATAAAAAGTAAGCCTAGGTTGGCTGCTGATAGTTTTATGCTACATGCCAGGGAAAGGTGAAAATGGAAGAATCAGAAATGAGTATTTGGGAGAAACTCTGTGAAATTATGGGAAAAAAAATGAAACACATGGAAAGATTATGCCAAATGGTTGGTAACTTTGTGATGTGGGGGAGGGAGGGAGGGAGGGAGGGAGGGAGGGAGGGAGAGAGAGAGAGAGAGAGAGAGAGAGAGAGAGAGAGAGAGAGAGAGAGAGAGAGAGAGAGAGGCCCAAAATCACCCAGCTGCTTTCATGGCTAAGATGGGACCTGAAGTCAAGGTCTCCCGCTTTACAAACCTGATGTCTTAACCACTAGACCAGGGGTAGGCAACCTTGGCTCTTTTATGACTCGTGGACTTCAACTCCCAGAATTCCTGAGCCAGCATGGCTCAGCTTGGAAATCTCTCCCTTTCCCCTCAGCATGGCTGACTCAGGAAATCTGGGAGTTGAAGTCCACGAGTCATAAAAGAGCCAAGGTTGCCTACCCCTGCACTAGACCAAACTGGCTCTATTCTATTAGACCTATTCATGTTTATACGTAGCAATAGAATATATATAAAGGTAAAATGTTTATTATTAAAAAGCGTTAATGTTTGTTATAAACACCTGAATTACTGAAGGATGCAGCGATAATGACAAACACTGTGGGACAGACCATTTCCTGATAGCAACAGAACTGGATCTGTGGGACAAATCACCATGGAAGAGGAAATAAAAACTAGAAGGAAAGAATGACTGAACAGAAAGCATGAGTTCTGTAAGAAATTAGAAGATAAAATTAACCTTCCATTGGAATGAATGGAAAGTAGACACAAGAAGGTGTGAATGCTGCTTTGAATACAGTGGAAAGAAAGTTACACTGGGCTGTCAAAGTGTGTGGATGTATATTAATGAACAAAAATGAGTGGAATGATGAAATAATTCAAGTGATTTCCAAAGTGATCAAAGCACACCCCTCCAGGTGCAAAACAGCTGCTTCAAACTCAAAATGAAGCTCTGCAAATTTGAACTAGTTCAAATTCAAAGTGCTCTGAGTGTCCCTAAGATACTGAATGTTTCTGTATTCATCGAGTATTACTTCAATATTAGATGAACACAGAAACATTCAGAATGAAAGGAATAGTCTGTTCTTTTTTCTTCTCCTAACAGAGGGACAACAGAATCTAGAACAAGGCAGGGGAAACTGACCCATTTCATTTATCATTGCCTTTCTATTTGGCCCTTTGGTTTTATGACTCCTGATAATTTGCTTTACACCTTAAGTTTATCTGGGCATTTAATCATCTCTGAGGGCAATCATTAGCCAGGTAACACAGTACAAGTTTACATTCCAATTGTTCAGAGGATAAATGCAAAAAGTGGTTAACAGAATAGCAGAATTGGAAGGGACCTTGGAGGTCTTCTAATCCAACCCCCTACTCAGGCAGGAAACCCTACACCATTTCAGACAAACGGTTGTCCAGTCTCTTCTTAAAAACCTCCAGTGATGAAGCACCCACAACTTCTGCAGGCAAGCTGTTCCACTGATTAATTGTTCTCACTGTCAGCAAATGTCTTCTTAGTTCTAGGTTGTGTTGGGAGGAACTCCCCCGTTCGGTCCTTCCAGCCGGGATTCCCCTTGACAGCGCAGAAGAAATAGATTGTGAAGCCAGCTACCAGAAAGAGGTTTAATTTCGAGGATCAGCGTTGAGTGACAATTCAGCTCGAGTCCCCGGCTAGCTAGACAGAGTGATCTTTAAATAGGGGTTTTTATACCCTTTTGTGGTTTCCAAACTTGTCATTTCTGATTGGTAACAAACTTATCATTTCTAATTGGTGAGTTTGAATCTGCCTTTTCTGATTTGTTGGTT